GACCCAATTGCTGGTAGACTGAATATGGAAGCAAATTAACACTGGCCCCTAAGTCTAAAAGAGCCTTATCAATGTGAGTATTTTCAATGACACATGAAATGATAGGAGAACCTAGATCCTTATATTTCAAAGGTATGGGATTTGAGAGCATATCACTGATATTGGCGGCTAAAAAGACTTTCTTTGGAATATTTATTCTCCTCTTCTTAGTGCATAATTCTTTCAAAAATTGGCATAAGATGGAATTCGTTCAATTACATCTAAGAGAGGAATATTAACCTTAACCTGCTTGAATGTTTCTAGGATCTTTTCTTCTTGAGGGGAGTGTTTCCTAGGCCTGAGTCTATCTGGAAAAGGAGCAACTGGTTTAAACCTATCAAAAGCAAGCTCAGGTTCAAGTTCAGGTTCTTGGTCATCTGAGGGGGGTGATTGTTGAATAGATTCATCAGAAGGAGAAGGAGAAGGAATTTGTACTAGATCAAGAGTTTGACTTGGAGGAGTTCTTACTTGATTATCGACCTGTCTACCTGACCGAAGTGAATGGATTGCATTCACTTGAGCTTCAAAGGATGAACTGCATCATGTGTCCTTAGGGTTGACCACGGATTGACTCGGAAATTTTTCTTTCTCTCTTTCACTCACGGCACTAGCTAGTTGGCCAATTTAGGATTCTAATCTAGCTATAACTTGAGTGTTGGAGTTGAGCATTTGTCTGGATGATTGCATAAAGGAATTCAAAGTGCTGGACGTTTGAGTCAACATATTCGTGGTTTGAGTGGAGGCCTTAATTATGGTTTCCAAACCCCTTTCCAAGACATTGAGACGTTTATCCTGATCTGGATTGTGAGGAGTCTGAATTATAGCTTGATGAAGAGGAGACTGATTTTGATACGGTAGATTCGATTGTTGAAATTATGGATGAGAATTGAAAGGAACCGTGTTTCCCCTAGGAAATTGTTTGTTTGAAGAGAGAGTGAAGTTTTGAGTTCCGGAGTGAGTTCCCTGATTACATGCAAAGTTTGGGTGGTTTCTCCAACCTGGGTTGTAGGTTGGAGAGAATTGATCATTTACGTAACACTGGAATGTAACGTTGACCTGTCCTAATGGATGATTATTTCCTAAGAGAGGACATTCTTCTGAAACATGAGATGGTGACAGACAGTTGTGACATCCTGAGGCTGAAACTTGTTTGATTTGAGCCGGGGCTCTTTCCTTGATTTCTAAGGCTTCTAATCTACGCATGATTATGGCCATCTTAGCTTCAGATGCAATGTTCGACTCTAAGGAAATACCACTGGACTTGGTTTGGGGAACTGATGACACTCGGTCATCATAGTGTTCCCATTGCATGGTTTTTTCATAAAGACTCTCTAAAAACTCCCAAGCTTCATCAGCATTTTTCCTCATAAAATCCCCGTGGCACATTGACTCTAAGGAAGTTTTTGAAGAATAATCTAATCCCTCATAAATTATTTGGCACAATCACCATTTTTCTAAACCGTGATGAGGACATTGGATGAGAAGATCTTTAAATCGGTCAAAATACTTCCAAAAAGTTTCTCCCGAGATAATTTTAAAATTCATGATGCTATTTCTTAGCATTACCGTTTTATGGATCGGAAAAAATTTCTTAAGAAAAACGGTGATAAATTCCTCCCAAGTTGTGATGGAATTTATGGGTAAGCTGTATAGTCATTTTTTTACTTTGTCTTTGAGGGCAAAAGGAATAAATCTGAGTTTGACTGCATCTTCAGTTAATTCTCTCATTTTAATCATCATACATACTTCTTCAAATTCTGAGATAAAAATATATGCATCTTTAGTTTTATTCCCTCGAAATTTTGGAAGCATGTTGATATATTACGGTCGAAGCTAAAAGTTAGTTCAATTTGCCTCGGGAAGCCTAATGCAAAAGGGGATTGCATTCCTAGTGGGATAGCACATATCTTGAAGAATGGGTAAATTAGGATATGCCATTTCTAGAATTTGTTCAAAACAAATTAATCGATGTGTATTATCCCTAATCCACATTTGCATACACCCAAAACAACTTCTTTTTATATTTTTTTTAGGAAAAAACTTAGTTTTTTTATGAGAAGAAAAAGAAAAAATCCTAACTAAAACAAATTAAAAGCAATCACTTTTTAATCACTCTAACTCTAGGGTTTAGCCTAACTCAACTAGACTAGCTCCTAACCAAAAACTCCTAAAGTAAAAAGATTAAAGTTTTACCCGGGTAGTTAGCTAGGTAAGGATAGTACTAGAAGGTGATCAGAGATCAATTAAGTACCTCGTTTCTTACGGAGCGCTTTACGCAACCCCTAAACCTTGCCTTAGACACCAACTAATCCGAGAAAACTTAAACTGGTTCACTTAAGGATTCTTTGTTCCTTATTGAGCTTGAATTCTTAGGGCCAACGTCTAATGAGTTTTATTAGGCTTGGATGGTGTAGTGAGGAATTAGTGATTTTTGGGCTAAGGAAAGGGTGATGAAATCCCTCACCTTATCTTGATTATGGAGTTTTGTCCTTAAAAATATTTTTAAGTGTGTGCCAAATCAAGATGCTCAAATCACCTTGGTGAATTCCTACTAACTATATAAAATGCAACTCTATAAATTAAAAGCGACTAAAAAGGATGGAAGAAAAAAAATCTTTATATATTTTTTATTAGGGTTAACAATCAAACAACTATGAGAAGGGTGAACATTGTTTGAGTTTATTATCTTGTTAGTTAATATCCAAGTGAAAGGTGAATTTTATTATGGTCAACAAAAAAAAAATCCTTTTTTGTTAATCCTAATTGTCTCTAATTATGAAGCTAACTAAAAAGGGTGGAATTAAAAATGCTAGAAAGAAGAGTTACCTAAAAGCAATTCTCTAAGTTCTAGATCTCCAATCTGCGATCTTCAAGCTCCAAGCGGTTCCTTCACAAAAAACACATAAGTTAAAGAACCAAATTAAATAAAATCCTACTTAAGCACCCTCCCCGGTAACGGCGCCAAAAACTTGATGCGGCATAAACATGTACCAAAAATGTTGCAAGTGCACAACCGTGTCAAGTTATAGTATAAAAAGTTATCGATCCCACGAGGAAGGTGTTTTGTAGGAGAAAATTAAAATTGGTTCTTATGTTATGTGCGTGACAAATAGGAGTGATGAGTGAATGTGATTGTGGAGAGATAATGAAGGTGATAGTGTATAAATAGGCACAAAATGTAAGTGAGAGTGGATGTGACAATGAATAAATGATTTTCACAAGGAGAGATGAATAAAATCAATAATCAAAAAGGAAAATTAAGAATGAAAATAAAATTAAAGATGGCGGATTCAATTAAAGATATGGGTAATCTAGAATTGCATCCACTTCTTAGAAAAGGGTGATTCCTTAGAGGGTTCTAGCCTAAAGGCGAAAAAAAAAAAAACTAAACCCAAGAGGGTTCTAGCCTCAAGGTGAATAGTGCAAGAAATTAAAATCTAACTACAAAATAAATTGTAAAATCTAAACTATAAAATAAATTACATGAATTTAATGTAAAAAAATAAATCTACTCTATAAGCATGAAATAAATCTAATCTATAAGCATAAAATAAATCTAAGGCAAGAGGGTTCTAGCCTCTTAGCTATTTAAACAAGAAAATAAAATCTAACTACAAGCATAGAAATAAATCTAAACTAATAAGCAATAAAAGAGAAATAAAAGAGAAAAAACCTCTAAATTAATCTTCATCTCCACATTCATCATCCAACAAAGAAAAGAACAATTTAAAGTGGTGAAAAAAATTATTTTATTAATTGTAACAAAAGTTACAAATTTGGAAGGCCTTCTCAATTAAGAGTGGTCATCCTTTCCAAATGGAGTTACAAAAAATTTTCACACCTCTAACCCCTCACTCTCTACCCCTATTTATAGTAAACATCAGTGAATGAGAGCCCTTGGATCGAAATCTTATCCAAAAACCATGAATTTTAGCCTTAGATTCGTAATTGCCTGCTGATGGTATCGATACCAGCATCGATAGGGGTATCGATGCTGGCATTGATACTGGCATCGATGTGCACCCCTTTCTGGTTGCTGTCCGAGAATTCCTCTTGTATTTGGCTTTGTGCTTTTGCCTCTTGGGCTTTTGGGCTTCACACTTGTTTTCTTCATTAAATCAATGGGCTTTTGTTGAGATATGAGATTCTCTTGGGCTTTTGGGCTTCACACTTGTTTTCTTCATTAAATCAATGGGCTTTTGTTGAGATATGAGATTTTTGAGATTTATTCTTCATTAACCTGCCAATGGGCTTTTGTTGAGATATGAGATTTTTGAGATTTATTCTTCATTAACCTGCAATTAAAGATAAAACAATTATTAGTGGTATATTTATTTATTTAAAATAGATAATGAGGGTATAAAATTATAATAATATGTGATTATCAATAATCTCCCTCTCAAAGCGCTAAAAAAAACTAATTTTCTCTTATTATCTCTTCTCCTAAACCCTAGAAAGACGTGTTTCTATTTATAACAAAACAGAATACAAAATAGGCTGGGAGTCAGAAAACGTGTCTGCCACATCCGGGTGTGGCACGCACTACACCCCTGACAACGAATTCTAGCAGACAGCTTCTGTCACATCTGGGTGTGGCACGCACTACACCCCTGATAACGAATTGTAGCAAACATCTTCTGTCACACTTGGGTGTGGCACACACTACACATGTGGCTGCTGAATTTTTACGTTTTCCAACATATTGAATAATTTGACGCCGTCTTCTACAAATTAATGATAACGGCTATGATCAGAATTAGTATTTATCTCCACTACCTTTCAGCAGCAAAGAGAATCCAATGTTACATGCATTTGAGCTCTCTTATCATTAGCCCAAAAATATACTACGACTAATTATATGCCACGTGCTCAACTTTACAACTATTTTATTTAGTATCGTATGGATACATTCCGAAGGCAGCAACCCTCGCCTAAATTAAACCCATATTGCAACAATGCAGGTTCAGAGCTCCAACTCCCGGCATACTTCACTCCGATATTCTTCCCGATAGGGAACGCAGCCACCGGTTTTTTCGTGGTATTTGCATTGATAGCCAGTGTCGTGGGGGCCGCCTCAGCGATAGCTGGAGTCCACCACCTCCGGCTGTGGAATTATGACAGCAGGCAGTCTGCAGCCTCTTCTGCTATTATGGCATGGACTCTCACCCTTCTTGCAATGGGGTGAGCAAAATAATCAAGTCTTCAATTTTTTTTAAAAATAAAAAAAACTATTAGCTAATTGTGTTGTTTGATTATAATTTGAATGTTACTTGTAGATTGGCTTGCAAGGAGATTGATTTGGAGGGAAGAAACGCAAAGCTGGTAAGTAAAAAATTTTGAATTTTGGGCGTAAATTTCACAGAACCTCCTGATTTTGAGGGGCTGTGCGCAGAAATAGTTTAAGGAGGTTTTAATAAATCTACCCTCTTTTTCTTTGAACTATTTTATGATGAAGTCTTTAATGGAATTACAGAGAACAATGGAGGCATTTCTGATCATTCTTTCGGCAACTCAGTTTGTGTACATCCTTGCTGTACACGGGCCGGGCACATCCGCAACAATGAGGACCTGATTCCACAGAATTTATTCATTAATTTGTTTCTTCTTTTTCTCCCCCTTGTCCGTGTGCTCGGAGTGAAAACAGGGGGAATGAAGATGGCGATCGGTGATTGTTTGTGACTGAGAGAGCGATTGATTGTGAGCGTGTTTTAATGGTGTGGTTTACTTTCTTTCGTAGGTGATCCATTCTGAAAGTTGCTCAGTGTCGTTGCTTGAGGTACCTAAACTGAATTCGTTAAAGCGGAACTTTTTTGGCTTGACAAAAATAATATTTGCAACAGGGTGTTGTGTAGATGAACTGTTTTTATTACGGTGACAAGTTTGGTTTCAAGTTTAAGCTGATCAGGTTGCCGTTATGACTGGGAACCAATCGTCGTCAAATACTGAGTCGCTCATGTTTGTGTCCTTTCTTAAAAATCGTCAAATTCAAATATTCTTCTCTGAATTTCTTCTAATAACAGGATTTCCACGCGAGCTGTCACGTGTTAAAAAATATTAGTCGTTTCGAATCAACTAGAATGCTCATCCTACTGCGTCGAAAATGGGTTCAATTTCGAAAATTCTTTTCTGAATATTCCCATGGAGGCTTTCCCTCCTGAAAGTTACATCCAGAGGCTTCGTAAGCGTGTGAGAACCCTCTAATTTACTTTTTTTAACTTCTGTGCTCTCGCATGCTCACAACCGCCGGAATATTTTACTCAGATTTTCCCATGTAATATTTACATGTCAAAAATTGGTCAATGATGCCCTTAAAAGTCATCAGAATCAACCAGAAAACTTATCTTGCCACGTTAAAAATATAGCGACTGGTACGTTTATCATGCTAATTTAGGGGCAAGGTGAGGTTTTTAGTTGATTCACGCAACTGTAGTAGTATAATTTGTTGGATGAAGCCAGATGGAGCCACAATCCTTGACCAAAAGCATTGAGGCTCACGCCAACATTGTTTTTGATAGGAAGGAGCCGCATTTCTTGACATATCAGAGTTAGGCACCAAAAAATGAAGAAATTGTGGAGCTACATTTGTTGATAATAAGAAACCGAGTTTGCCTATAAAAGGATTCAGAGTTCATTCTCACTTAAATCAATCCAATCTCCAAATTCAAATAGAAAAGTGAGGGAAATATAGAGAGAATTTCTTCTTATTCAAGAGAGATATTATAACTCCTAAATTTTCCTCATAGTGAATTATTCTATTATTAGCCTTAGTTTTTCTCCCAATTTATTTTGGGGGTTTTCCATGTATCTGTCTAATTTATTATTTTCGCACTAATATTAGCTGCAACCCTGCTCTATCTAGTCCCGATTTTCTTATAAACGATATTAGAGCCTGGTTTAGGGTGCATGTATCTACTTATCACATGCTCTACAGTTGTCACAAAAGGTGGATCCTCCTCATAAAAAAATAAGTTAGATTTTGTCATTTACCCTTTGAAGGCACTGTACACTATTCACGAGTAGGTTATTATTCACAAGTACGGTATTGTTCACGTGAATAGTAAAAGTTACAGTTCATGATAGAAACAACGGCAACAAAGTTTGAGATTGAAAATTTTAGTGGGAATAATTTCTCACTATGAAAGGTGAAAATAAAGGCTATCTTAAGAAAAGATAATTGTCTAGTGGCTATCAGTGAAAAGCCAAAAGACATCACAGATGACAAGAAGTGGAATGAGATGGACGAAAATGTTGTTGCTAATCTTCATCTGGCATTAACAGTGTAAAACCTTGAAAATTTAGAAAATAATTTTAAATAATAATTGTACGCGTAAAATTTGATTTCCCGAAACAGGGACTTCGTTTGTATTGATAAGAACAGCTTATTACAAACTAATGAATCAAAATTATAATAGAAGTGGAGGGAATATCCTCCTTGTTTAACATGGGGTCTTTGGTAGCGATAGGACGCCTCCCTCGGTTCTCGCACCGAATTTGTTTCCCTTGGACGATCCGATCGAAGTTGCAGGCGAGCTTCAGTATGCAGTAGAAGCTCGTGTTGATCAAGTTCGAGTTCCTGAGCTTGATGGTGATCAAGGCCGAAAGCTGGAAGAAGATGCTACAGTGCAAAAACAATGCAAAGAGCCAGGCTCGATTCTCTTAGAGCTTAAAAGAACTGATTGCCAAGAAGCCAAATAGGTCCGATCTTGATCAAGAGTTTAAGACCCCTCTTTTAATAGCCATCATTGGCTATTTATAGTGGAGGAGAAGCATGGCCACTCCCACAAATTGTGGGATTGTGGTTGAGGGGGGCCATAACTTCATCCCTTAAATATTGGGATGTGACCATTAGAGGTGAGGAGAACCATACTCCATCTCTTAAATCATGGGGAGTGGGTGTACCCACTCTCTTAAATTGTGGAAGTGATCATTCCCATGCTGGGTATGATCATGAGGATAACCACTCTCTTAAATTAAGGGATTTGACTGCTCTCATGCTTCAAGTGGGCGGCTAACAGTCTAGGTGAGCTGGCGACCCTGCAGGCGATGTTGTACAAGCGAGGCTATGTAGACGAGGCTGTGCAGGCAAGCTTTCCTTATGCAAGCGAGCTTCAAGCAGTTAGGCAAGTTTAGCCTTCAGGCGAGCTTAGTCTTCGGGCGAGCTTGGATCTTGCAGGCGAGCTTCAAGCTGTCAGGCGAACTCTGCAGGCGAGGCTGTGTAGACGAGCTTGGTCTTCAGGAGAGCTCAAGCCTTCAGGCGAGCTCAAGCCTTCAGGCGAGCTATCAGGTGGGGTTGCTCTTCAATCGAGCTCCAGAATATACTATGAAGAACAGGTCATAACTTTTAAACCGTAACTCGGAATTAGACGAATTATATATGAAAATCGCATATCTTGACGAGATGGGGCCAACCAAACCACCCAAGGGAGTTTGTCATCTCTGTTTCTCCAAATTCCTTACGGTTTGAGAGATATTAGCGTTTTCTCCCTTTTTGCTCTTTCGAATGAGGTTTTAGCAGTCTTGTTCTGAACTTCTTTGATAGGGATTAAATGTAATTTTTATTACCTATAGAACCCCCTCTAAAGTTTTCAGACCTTAATCAGGTCGTATAGGGTCTAGAACACTTTGGATATGAAGACCTACAAAATGATCACCGTGCAGACGGAGCAAGGCGCCTTCCAATCGAATTCGGCGAGATTGAATTATTCTGTCGCTGCTAACGATCGCCAATTAGGATTTTTAGAAAACCCTCAGCTATCAACGAACTTGATTTATCTTTACCAACTGCCGTTTGAGTTGGACTAGCCATGTTCTTGCCCTTAGCATGGTAGGTTGTCGAGGAGTTTCTCTTAGGCTTAATGCTAAGATTTCTCCTCTATCCTTAGCCATCTGAGGCGTTTGGATGTAGGAAACAGTTTAACCTCGTACACCAGTCAGAGAAAAGGAGTAGCTTCACCTCATGCATTGGTTGGATGAAAGGGAGCAGTTTAGCCTCGTGCACCGGTTGGAGGAAAGTGGGCAGTTTACCCTCGTGCACCGGTTGGAGGATGTCGGGTTATCCTTAGGAGTTTTCTCCAGGAACTTCCCGTCAAAGGTAGGGAATAGTTTAGCCTTGTATACCAGTTGGAGGTTGGCGAGTTATCCTTAAGAATATTATGGGTAATATCCTCCAGGAACTTCCTGACAAAGGTAGGAAACAGTTTATACTCGTATACCCGTTGGAGTCTAGGAGAAGTTTGTCTTCTCTTGGGGTAAAGATGAACCCTGATTTGTCTTCTCTTAGGGCAAAGACGAACCCTGATTTGCCTTCTCTTAGGACAAAGACGAATCCGAAATAACGGCACATCGCATGATAGGCTACTATTTGGATAAAAGCACATCGCTTGGTAGAGCATTATTTAGATAAAGGCACATCGCTTGGTAGGTCATTATTTGGATAAAGGCACGTTGTTTGGTATGCCATTATCAAACAACAACACCTTTTGTGGGAAAGATAGTGTTGGAGGAATCAAATCGTTTAGGGATGTATGAGTGTGATGATTAATTGTTATAGGAGCCATCACATGGTAGGCTACTACCCATCGATTGTTCCAAGGATATTAGAACGATCGAAAAGGATCAGGTCATTCAGGGACGTATGAGTATGATGACTGATTGGACAACGTCATTTCTAAGAATGACGGTGTCGGTTATCAAAGGTAATCATTAGCCTGATAGGAATTACCGCGATTGGAGTGACTTTGTGGACCTACCACTCCATTAAAGAGAGTCGGTAAGTAGGTTCTGGTCAGAGGTGTGATGTTAACATAATAAGATTGTTTGTTGCGATTTGAGCAACTCTGTAGGCTTACCATCCTATTGAAGAGGATTAACAAGTTGATTTGTCAGAGGTAACTATTAACATGATAGTGAGAGTTTGTCCCATCGTCCTATTGGAGAGGATCGACGGGGGAAGTTTGGAGGAAATTAGTTATCAGAGGTGACCATTAACATGATAACTTTTGTGTGGAGTTGTCGCCCTATTGAAGAGGATTGGCGGGTGAGTTTAGTTGGCTATGAGAGGTAACTATTAACATGATAACTTTGTAGAGCTGATTGATGACGAGCTTCAAATCGTCATGACTCCATCACAGAGAAGAATTCAGGTAGTACATGGTTTCCCAGAGAAACCGAGACCACCCCCACTCAAGCGAGAATCGGGATTAAAGGGTAAAGACGTCTTAGTTGACCTCGCGGGAGTTGAAGGATAAAATCCTCTGCTGACATATTGCCCATTCGAGTAGACCGTCTCTACTACGAATGAGTATGAAGTTCCCATCGGATGTAGGTCCTCCGATGATTGACGCATACAAGCGTCAGCGATCATCTTTGGCCAAAATAGTCAAGTCTTCCCAGTCGGCCCTACAGTTTGGGTCTGAGTTGGCGAACTCGACAGATGCCATCATGGGCTTCTAGTGCTTCGAAGCATTGCCCCTTTGTTTTGATAGTTAGATGAGGAGGTGGTTTCCACTACCAACGTTTCTTGGTCATCACCCCTTTGAAATTCATATGGCCCTTTAACATCCATGCGTTTGAGCATGCTCTTGACTTGTTCTCCTTGGCGGATTAAGTCTTTCCATGAGCGATCTACGACTACGCCCATATTAGATAGGATGTCAATGGAGAGATTGTTCCGGCACATTTCAATGAGAGTGGCCTCAGAAACTTGATCACGTGTATGCAGCAATTGGTTCCTGAACCTCTTGACAAAGTTACTTATAGACTCTGTCTTTTTCTGCTTTGCAGCTAGTAGGATGGTCACAGATACTTCTTTGTTATCATCAAAGAATCTGGCCATAAAGAGCCTTTCCAT